TCTCTCTCTCTCTCTCTTCAGTGGCTAGTCGTTATGTTGGTATCACAATAAGAACATTAGCCACAGTAAAATCATTGAATGCTTCTCGAGTCAAATGGCTCGAAAATCGTGCGGTGTTAAATATTCGATTTCCGCAGAAAGCCCATACGATGAGTGTGCACGCGCGTCTCTCGTCGACAAGAACACATTTGTCATTTCATTAATGGTTGTATTCCGTCTATAGGTTTTCCGTCAGATGCAAGCCGCTGCGGGTTGACGTATTTTCGTGGCCTCCGTTTAATCGCTCTTCGACCGAGTTACGTTTCCCAGATAATGGTTGAGGCCTCCGGGCTTTCGAGAAATTAGGCGGCTCTTATTAATGGCTCTTACAACGCTCTACGATTCAATACCCTTTATTCGTGTATTTACATATACGAATACATAGATATCTATATCTATGATTAAAATAAAATTAGAATGTCTACGCATAAAATACTTCCATATTGATATTCTTCGTAATATGATTATATTTTTAGATAAATAAATTATTTATTTAAAATTTATAGTTTTCATTTCAATCAACAGAGAAAGTACACTAACGTTCATAAGTTCGGGACAACAGAAATTTTGTTGCATGAGCAGTTATGCGGGGGCTACAATAGAAATCGAATAGCGGTCGTAAGTCTTAAGTAGAAAATTAACCAATCACAGTCGAATACAAGAAGAATAATCTACTATGATTGGTTAACTTTCTATAACTCAAGACCGCGCTACGACTTTTAGTATAGACCTCGTATACAGTTAAAAAAATTTTGAAAAGAATGCAAATAAAAAAAATTAAAACAAAAACTTTTTTATTTTTTTCTGTAAACTGGATCTTTAATATTGAAATTAAAAATATTTTATTAAATTTTTGAGTTTTTGCATAAAAAATTTGATATCATTGTAAAAAATTATCGTATCAATTTTTAAAAAAATTAAATAGTAAATTTACAGCTTCACACTTCTTTAACGTTCTTGAAAACTTCTCTATAATTTTTTTCACCTTGATAGTTAATATTCCGTAAAAAGAAAATCGTAGGCGTTCCCGAATTTATAAATGATAATAGGTATATGTATAAGCTATTGAATGGTTCAATATAAATGAGACTTCTTTTTATGTAAATACAAATCACAATATTGGTAGATGTACTATTACGCTGACAATGAGTAACAGGAGATAGAGAGTGTCTGTTAATGCTCTACATAGTTGTGGATTCTCGACAGTTATTTCTGTAATCGTTGTTGTAATGATCCGAACAAATAGTACCAAGTGTCATTGGACAACGCGTTGTTCATGCATTGATCAAGTTTCATTGTTGATCAAGTTTCTTACAAACGAAAATGTTAAAACCATCAAAATTTTGCGTAAATTGCGTACATAATTCAGAGAAGAAAAGCTATCGAAGGCGCAAATATGCAACAATATTCTCCCTTCAATTTATTGCGTTTGATTCATGACACGATCCAATTTAATGATACCATAATGTATTAATTACTTCTTTATTTTAACAATAATAATGTTTCGATAACGCGATATGCTACTATTTCTTCACTATCGTGTCGATATTATTCCTACGACCTACTGAGCTTCGCTTTCCAATTAAAAAAGTTTTCGCTTTAATCGGATAAAATATTTTTACAAGCTTTCAGCTTTTCCGCAAAACAAAAACTTTTAATTTTTCCTCAGTTCCATAATATTTACGTATTTTCTCATTATTCAGCTGTTTTTATAACAATGAGTTGCTGCAATGTTATTGGCTTATATTAGAAAAGATAATATATTTAGAAATAATCTGTTTATAAGAGAGTAAATGATCTCATGTGTGTGTGTGTGTGTGTCTGCAGAAGTGATATTGAGCCTTTCATTAAATAAAAAAAACTTTTTTCTCGGTTCTATAATATACGTATTTTTCCATTATCATAGTAATAGAATCATATTTTCCTACATTATAGTTGTCTTTATAATATCATTCCATCCCAGCAAACACTTACGTGTAAACATACCTATTAGTTGTAATGTCTCACTCAATAATATAGTAATTGTAATATAACACGTTTCGTATTACAGCTATATTGTTGAGCAAGAAATTACACCAACAGATGTGTTACATGTAACTTTGCTGGAACGAAATACGATGTTATTTATTTATTTATTAGAAGAGATACTTATAATACAAATAATCTGTATGTTTTTATATATACTCGTAAGTACATTAATAGCTTGTATATGTCTCCATAAATCCGACATCTGTTTATCTAGATTCTAGATTAATAGAGATAATATTTTTTAATATTTATTATTTAAAAAAAAATATATATATAAGTCTATTTAATCTGTACACAATGTAAAGCACAACAAACAGGTGTAAATCTTAGCCGAACATTTGTTTCAATAATTTTCCTTGAATGTAAAAGTCATTGAATTTATCGCATTTACATGGTCTTTTACTTCCAAAACATTTCGACTTTAAGGTTTTCAAAAAATTTGTACTAAGATACACTTAATAATTTATTGTATTAAAAATATTAATAAACTTGTTAGTTTGTTTGCAATTTTTTGTCTGCTTATATTCAGTGACCTGAATCGACAAAGATTGATTTTAATCTAATATATTATATAAGTAAATTTGAGTTATTTGATTGGCTAAAAACTAGGCTATTAAATTGTCTGTTATTTTCATCCGATGAGATATGTGTAATTATGAGAAAATTGCCGAGACGTATTTTAGTCAACCGAGACAGCGTCAAAGATATCACAGGAGTAATACCGATGAATATTTTTCGCTGCCAAGTTTGCCCAAGCATTATTCGCAGCTATCGATCATACGAATCGTCCCGAGTATCCATCGGCGTAACGTCCTTCCGACCCGCGTCCTTCCTTTTCTGCTTGTCGTCGGGATGCCCATCGATAGAAATCGCGATCCTGGCCGTGTTCCAGAATAGCCGTGGAATTTGTCAATTCGTCCCATTCGATCACCGCCCCCCGCCTTTCGACTTACAGCTTCTTCCCTCCGCTCTTCCTTTTCGTTGTCTTGAGTACCACTGTCCTTTCGCCTATCCACTTGCTCCTTCGATTCTTTACCGAGTTTCAAGTCTTTTTCTCCTTCCTCTCCACAAATATCCCTTCAACTTCTTCAACATTTCTCCTTTTTCATCTTTTTATTTCCATCCTCTTTTTCTTTTTCAGTTTTTCCGTTTTCACCTTTTCTTTTCATATCGATTTGTCGATCTAATTTCGCACATTTTCTAAGGTTCTTTTTTTCTTTGCCGACCGACACACCGCAGATCTTCCTTTCGGTTGACTCGCAAAAAATCACGAAGATCCTAAGATTTCCTTTATCTATCTTAATCCCGGCATTCGTTTCAACAGCTCACTGAGAGAGAACCCAGCATTTTTCAATGAAATACCACAGGTACGCCAATGAAACGTCAGACTGTGCCGATGGCAGACGTCAGCCTTGTTGAGAATGTTCTACGGGGGTTCAATGATTACCGAGGAGTTTCTTGATCATGCGAGAGACCTCTCCTTTTCATCCTTCCTTATTTCATCGACGATTTTTTAACTTTTGAGTAGAGAAAAAGGCTTCGACGACTACCTAACTTTTAACAAGAATCACCACAACTTGATTTTATTTTTCGGAGATAATATCGAGATAATGTATTTAAAAGGATGCCTCTTAGATGTTCGATATTTCGATATTTCTACGTACGATTAATTAAGTCTATAAAGAACTAAAATGTAAGTGAGCAAATCACTCACCGAATTATATTATATATGTCATAAAAAGTATAAAACTCCTTAAAGTATTCAAAATGAAATAAAGACAGAAAGAATAAAAATATTAATTCTTTAAATAAAAGAATAGTCATGTTTCTAAATATTTATTCATCTAGATTATATTACAGATTGACAGAGATGAATATTTTAACTATTTATTATTAATATTAAAAAGTGACGTCATCTCGTTAAAGAAATAAAAGTCTAAAAACAAAAAATTCAAAATTACTTCAATAATATATTTTTTCAATAATAAATAAAAATCTGTTTAATAGAAAGCGAATTTTTTTTCAAGTTATCTCGATATATTGCAGTACTACACTGAAAAAAGAGTTTGATAATAACTATCAAATGTTTAGTCAAATAATACTAATTAAACATAATTTTACCTTTACAAATATTTAGTAAATATTATCAAATGGTATTGTCAATGGTCAT